ATTGGGGAATCATAAAGAAAACGATTATTTGGCAGTCAAAAATATGCATTATCTTGGTTTTCAAAATTTCAACAACCAAAAGTTTGTAATAGTAGAAGTAACACAAAGAATATAAAAAAAAAACTTTGAAATTATAAATCATTTTCGTAATTTTTAAAATTGAGAAAGGCATAGTTTTAGAACTATATATTCTGAATAATCATATAATTCTTACAATAATTAACAAACTATAAAAAAAATGTATTTTACCTTATTTATTTGGCATTTGACTGTAAAAATTCGAACTTATGCTTTACAAATATTTAGTTCATGCGGCAAAATTGTTTAATTTGCATCTGAAGTAATTCGAAAACTTATTAAAAAGCAAATAACAAAATGTATTTTTAAACTTCCTTTGGCATTTGAATGTAATTTTAAGCTCTTTGAGAATAAATCCTAACTTAAGTTTTATTCAGTTGCGCCACAAAAATGTTGCTCAATGATTCAAATTGCTGCTTTATGTTTTTTGCCTTTGCTTTTTCTGTTCACGGCGCATGTCAAGTTGTGAGTGTGTGTGTGTGTGTGTGTGTGTACTGGGCATGTGTGCTGAGTTGTCCTTCAGTTGGCTGTCCGTGGACAGAGTGGACAGCGTGGACAGAGCTGTTGTTCTAGTTGAAGGCTAACTGAGGCACTGACTAAGAAACAGTTGTTGCAAGTTGCGTGCTGGCTCATTAGAATCTTGTTGTTTTTGTTGTTGTTGCTTCCATTGTTTGTTTGCTGCTTGTTGTTTATATTTACAGAGGGCGAAACTGAGATCATAACGAAAATCAAGTTAGCAAACATTGAGCGAGCGGCCAGGGGTGAGTTGGAGGCGATTCAAGTCGTCTGATTGATGTCCACATTTCAGCACCGGGAAGCAAAAATTCTCCATTAAGATACCTTTATATTTATGTATGTACACTTGGAAAAAATCGACATGACTTTTATAAAATTGCCTTAAATTTTATTATCTTTTTCTAGCTTTTTTTTTTTTTAAATACTTTCTAATTATAAGAAAACTTTTTTCTACAAATTAGAAAAGTAGAAATGAAATTTGTAGAAAAACAATTTGTTGTTAGATTTAAATATTTTTCATATTAATTTATAAGAATTTAATTAATGATATTAAATATAAAATATGTTCACTTATTTCCAAAAATTCTAATGGCTTAATAATAGTTAATATAAGCAATATCAAATCTAAAATCAGAATTCTTCTTTTTACACACGCATGCAATGAACAACACACTGAAAATTAGACATATTTTTTCAAAATATCAGAAAAAACTAGCCTGAAATTTATGAAATGCAAACCTTGGTTTTTAGAAGGCCACAAGCATAAATTTTTAGAAATTTACTTGTTGGAGAATAAGGCGAGGCACACTTGGCGCCAAAATTAGTGTGATTTTTTCTCTCAGTGTATGTAGAAGACAGCAACTCGAATACGTTTGCTAGCTGGCAATAGAAGACGTCAAATTGGTAGTTTGTAGTTCTCAGTTGGTAGTTGGTAGTTGCTAGTTGTGAGTTGCGAGTTGATAGATACAAATTTATGTCATGTCCAACTTTTTGACAACCTGTTTAAGGGATAGGGGAGGGGGCAGAGGGGTGCCCCCAACTCTATGACAGCTGACAGCAGGCAAAAAAAAAACAAAACAAACAAGAAAGATCGACGATCTTACATTCAGCGAAAATATAAGGTATATTATTTATTACTAAATATATATATATTTTTAATTAATTGAAAATAATTTTTTAGCTTTTAGAGAAATTTCCATTTTTGCGCTGATTAAGGGTACTTCAAACTGGAAGATACTCTTTGAAAAATCGTTATTTCTGGAATCGATATTGATCGATAAACAACACTAAACCTTTCTCTCATGGAACAATCGTTGAAATACATTTTGATGCCTCTGGCTCCTAAAAAACTTCAAGTGGTTGGCAACCCATAGAATATTTGTCAGTAGATATATAATCAATTATGGAACACGGAAAGTGTCTGCTTTTCTTTCCCAATTTGAAATTGGGCTTTCAGTGTATAAAAAGAGCAGAATTCTTATTGTTGCTAACAAATTAATTTCACCGATCATCAAGTTGCCGCTCCCTGTGCCACACACACAACGACATACACACAATTTTGACAGTCGATCATAAAAATATTTCGTGGAAAGTAGCCAAAAAACAGAAAATATCAAAACAGACAATTTGATTGTTGCATAGAAAAGAGCAACACAATTCTCTGTGTGTGTGTGTGTGTGTGTGTGTGTGTACAATGCAAGTTGAACTTCCCCTGCCAACCAATTCTTATTGTTGTTCTGTTAAAGCCCTGTTTTCAGATGAGAAAAGTTATCGAGAATGAAAAACTCCAAATTAGAAACTTGTATAAGATGGCTATTTTTAAATTTACTAGACAAACGCTGTTAACTCGTTTGACAATTGGGCTAGTCCTCAACTCAACTCAACTCAACTGGATAATAATTTAAGATTCATAATTATTTTGTTTAAGAAATTAAATGAATAATCTGGTTTGAAATCCTTCTACGCTGGTTGTCCTTCTTTCTTGTTGATTTAAATAATAATCTTGAAAATAACATTTAATTTTTGATTATATTGAATGTCGGCCATTTCTAAAATATAATTTTAATTCTTTGTTTTTTTTTTTTTTTAGATTCCACAAGCGAATACAGTTGCGCTATAAATAATGACGCAAAAATCGTTTTCAAAGGGGTCTTTTCTTAAATTAATTAATTTAAACAATTTATGAATAAATTTAATTAACTTATTTAAAGAGAAGTAAGCAAGAAAAACTTATAAATTTCTTACTGAAATTAAAAAATTAAATAGTATGTAAAATGAAAAATTAAAATTAACTAAGAATTTTTTAAAAATTAGAAATAAATAAATGATTTCTTAAAGGTTTTGTTAGGATGAAAATATATTGAAATATCAATTTATTGTTTCCTGATTTCAATTCGAAAATAGCAACTGCGACATTTGGCTATTCTTTATAGCTAAATTTAAGCCAAAATTGCAGCCAACTTTGACTGAGTATATTAATTATTTTTTTAGTAACCTTCGAATTTGAAGGAAATAGTTCATAAATATGCTGACCCCGATTCCAGTATTGTACATATAATATATATATATATATATATATATGTGTGTGTTTGTGTGTGTAACTGTAGTTGTGTATGTGTGTCACGCCCCTCAGCTGAATGTCTCCCATCGCATTTTCGTCCTTTCTCCCAGGCTAAATTGTTAACTTCAAAGAAAGATGAGCCTATGCTGAATGCATGCACACACACACACACATTATATATATACATATATATATATTAATCATCCGTATACATATATATATATTTATATATATTCCGGATGATTCCGTTGAGCTGTCGCATCAAGGACGAAATTTGTTGTGCCAAGGGCAAAAGCTTTTGTTACTTGACCCACTTCTCGTGGTTCATTGTTAAACGGTACATGTCAAAAGCTGCCGAGCTTAACTGGGGCAGCGTTTCTATTGGTCGACCCCCACCCCTCACTCTCAAAAATGAGTGTGTGTGTGTGTGTGTGTGTTTGGCAAAGCTTTCACACATGCATAAAGAGCTTTTGCGATAGCTTCGACTCACTCATGAGGGTGGCTCACTATTTGTGCACAGATATTATTTTTTGTACACGCCTCAAAATATGCAATACTTTTGGCTCCACCATTCTGACGGCATGCGGAATAGAAGCATGCTTTACAGCTGCGAGCAAAATAATAGCACCACTTTAACACATTTCTTACAAATCAAAAGTGGCGCACAAATACATGTACAGTGTCTCACAGCTTAATTGGACCAGTGTCTAGCAAAAAATGTTAAGTGTTACATTGTGTTTTGGCGAACGTCAACCTAATCCCTTTATTGTTTGCGCTTATAAAGGGCGCAGAACCCGGCGCACAGTTTCCACACTGCACTTTTTCCCCAGTTCATCCTGCACCTGTTGAGACAGTTTTGGAGCCGATAGCTTTGGATTTCCCCTTATTTTTCTGATGATCCTCCGCTCTTCCTGTTCGGTGATAATCTTATTTGGTGCCATTCTGCCCTTGTCCTCTATCCAATTTTCGTCGACGAATATCCGAATGATGTAAAATACAGTTGACTTGCTTAGATTTACCATTTCAGCTATTTGGCGATGTGAATATCCGATCTTGAAGTGCTCCAGGATGAGATTCCGTTGTTCAATGGTGGTCCGTTTGTCCATAGTCCTTGTTGGCTAGTTGTACCCGAGATGCAGGATATAATTAAACTGACTACGAAGGATTGGTCTATTTATACCGAAAATAAACAACCTGACGTAAAAAATCCGGGATATATCGCACCCAGGTGTCCATAACTCCCCTGGTCCAAATAATATGTGACCATAAATTAAGGTACTTTTTTACATAGCCCGACCTAGCAAACCCCATTTTATTGGGGTCATTTATTCATTTTGGTGGTTAATATATGTACCTGCCATCGATCTTTGGAATTTTTGAAAAATAATTTATAATTAGTTTATGGCAGGCAATTACAATTTTTGCTGGACACTGGTCCAAATAAGAAAATCGTTTTTTGATTTATATTTTTCACAATAATTTGTGCACATTTAAACAATTTTGCTATTTATTTGTTGTCCCTTCTGTTATGCGAAATTCATTCTGAATGGAGTATAGTTGTCCTAAAATTAATATATTTATGCAAATGCCTTTTAATAAAATAGACAACAAAAAAGCTATTATAAGAATCCTTAACTAATTGACAATTACATAAATCATGCCGTTAAGCAGCCTTCAATTTTCAGTTGAGTTTTGGAAAACAAGCAAAGCAATAATAGAAATAAGTCTGTTATAAATTCAGCAGGAAGAATTAATTTAAGTATTTTATAAGTCTTTCTATGTGATTCCAATTTCTGATCGGATAATACAATTTTTATTTTTACTTATACGTAAAAGTAATACCAATTTATTATTATGTGCGAAATGACATTCGAAAAATGTAAAAATTTAATTGTGTGACATATGTGGAATTATAGATTTACAACGATTTCCTACACTCAGAAAAAAAGAATTCGAAATGTATGTGATTGTTACAGTTTCCCCGCGTCAGGGAATGACTGAATAAGAAAATATTGCGAAGTGCCACCAGCGTTGTGTACTCAACTCAAATGTATTCAAGGCTACCGCGATGCTGATAGTTAATAGTACTGATATTCATTAATAAGGGACTTAACATATATATGGATGCACGGTTCTTTTTTTTCTGACTGTAGGAAATCGATAAAAGTCTTTTGGGGCGATTTATCAAAATCGAGATTTTAATTTTGTTGCTAAGTTCGTTAATGTAAAATCTGACTGCGAAATACTTTTTTGGGTGGCTTTATCCAAGAAATACCGATCTTTATAGTTCCAATTTTCAAGTCTCTATCTCTCTCGAAAGAAATTGCGTTTACACCTATTTACAATGGCAATTTTGGTTTTTTTACAATATGTAATAATTTTCTGTCTTAATTCGAAAACTGCAACAACAACAACAATAAAGAAAATAACAAGACCCCTAAATAACCCATGTTCATACCATATCGGATCTTCTTCGATGTTTTCAAAACAGAAGGTTGTGAATGGCACATCCTTTTGTATCCCCGAAACGATAGTGGAGCACATAGCTATACTAAATATACCCTAAAGAAAAGAATTTTATAATTAATTCAAATTTAATTATCAGTTGATTGCACTTTCACGCTACAAACCTTTATATGTATTCGCAGCTTTTGGGCATCGGACTTGGGTTCGCAATCGCATTCAAATCGATTGCGATTAATCAAAGCTTTGACTCCCTTAGGTATCTTGAGTAGTTCTTTCAGATCGGTCAGTTGGTTATGCTCCAAGTTTAATGTCTTCAGGCCTGGCAAAAATTCGTCAATTCCATTTGGTAGATGGGTTATATTATTTTGCGAAAGATTAATATATTTGATGCTTGTCAAGTTATTCTTGGGCAGCTCCTCGGGCAGTGTTGTGTAATTATTTCCGATAAGCGAAAGCTCCACTGGCTTCTCCCTCGACAAGCACTCAAAGTCCACATTTTTTGCATACGAACAGTTAAAGGAGTCTATTGTCGTTCTAATGCATCCACAAATCCTTTGAGAAGTTAAGCCCGTCGTCAAAGGAATTAATAACAACAAGATGCGCATCATTTTCTGAAATAAGAAACATTTCAACTATTATTAATATATGCTTGTAAAGAAATCGTTAATAATCGTGAGAAACACACAGAATAATATTCTTCCTGGAAAAAAAACATTAAAATTGTTATCCAAAACAGTGGAAAACACTAAAAGAAACAAGAGACAACGTGGCTGTAATGGACGACTCCGAAATACTTTGATATCATAAGTAATGTCAGCTGATAACAGTTAGCAGGATAACAGATAGCAACGGATAGCTGGGTGTAGCCAAGAAATACCGTCCAAGTTTGCCTCTCAAACTGTTGCTGTAACTCTTAAATTACGGGAGATATGGGATTTTCGAAATTTTGGGGCGGAAGTGGGCGTGATTGCTGAAGCCTTCTAGCAAACTCAGCTTGAGCAATAGGCTGCTGCTACAGGAGCATTAATTGTTGGGCGTTAAATTAATGTGCTACAAATATAATATTTAATGTTATTTATTATCTGCTAAAACCAGTTCTATGTTTATGTTACAGATTTTAATTCACTGCTATTATTCATTCATACCTTTACAAATCAATGTTTTATAGCCTTTCAATAGGTTGATTCATGTTTAAATATAAATGCTGCATAATTAAAAAAAAAGGAAGTGGGCGTGATCAAAAAAATTTGGAGAACGATATTAGTTACCCACATTCCAAGTTTCCTAGCTATTGCTCTTAGATTACGGCCAATATAGTCTTTTATTTAAATAACACGAGGAGTTTTTCTGTAGAAGTTATGTTTATATATAAATTTCAATATCTTTAGGTCCAGCGCTGCGCGACTGTCTTTGCTTAATGTAATGGAACGACTAATTGCGCTAACCGATTTTATGCGCGTCTTTACAGTGATCTTTTAAGAGACCTGCATATAGAATGCTGTGGCAACTCTATGTACATTATGCATACAGAAATATGTAAGCATTGTTGCTTTAACATATTAATATACATATGCATTATATATATAATAACATACCTTTAGATTAACCTAGCTTTCAAATTGTGAGATATATGTTTATATCGACTTACACCAAGGAGGCGGAGTAGGAGTGGCCATGCAATTTTTTATCTATCTCTTACAATTCTTGCCAGCAAAATACTTAAAAAATGTAAAACGCTACACTCAGAAAAAAAACTTTTTTGATCTGAAAAAATACAGAAAGGAGTTTGCTGACTAAGTCAAATACTATCTTCTATAAAACTAATCTATCGACGTCAATAATTAATAAATATTTATTGACTTATCTTATCCTATATATCATATAATCCCTCTTAAAAGTGGAACAACTTTTGCCACTTGGATGATTATTCCCGATTTGAGGTTCATTTAGTGTGTTCTGTGACTCTGAGCTTATAACAAGTCGGCTTTAGGAAAATGATAATAAATCGCAAAGCAGTATTATCAGTTTATAAATATAAGTATATATATACTCGTATATGTACATATAAGTATATATATAATACTAAATATTTTTGCAATAGGTCGGAGACAAAAACGTTGATAGAGAAGACGTCCTATGAGAAGTGGACCGGTAAAAAGCCAACCGTGCCACATTTAAGAATATTCGACTCAAAGGTTATTCATTAACATGCAAATAAATCGCAAAGCAGTATTATCAGTTTAGCTCGCTTTCGTCTTGTCCTGTTGAACTTGCTTTCACCGATGCCTTATGGAGGTTATGGACAATCAGCTGGTGTCTTCGTGCCAATTCGCCGCAATTAAAAGTGATGGAGCAAACTCACTAGCATTTTGGGATGATCCGAGTCCGAGTCGTCTCAATGTTCCCTGGATCCCACTCCTTTGTTCCTGACTTGTCTCAGTTGTCCCCGGCGATCTCCTCTTGGTGGCTGCGTTGGATTATTCCGCCTGTTGTTGCCGCCGGTTTGTCTTGTTTGTTTTTTTTATTTATATGTATATTATTTATTTATTTTATTTTAATATATAATTATATTCTATATTTTTCTATATCTGATTGCGAAATACTTTGCAAATTATATGGTGCCTTCATTGCTTTGCTGAGACAACCCTTACGATGTATTCGTATTGGCATCGGAATTGCAATCGCATTCAAATCGATTTCGATTAATCAAAATTTTGACTCTCATTGGTATCTGGAATAGTTCATTCGGATCGGCAAGTTTGTTATGCTCCAAGATTAATGTATCTAGGCCTGGCAAGGATTCGCCAATTTCATTTGGGAGACGGTTTATTTTGTTATGCAAAAGATTAATATATTTGGTGCTTTTAAAGTTGTACTTGAGCAGCTTATCGGGCAGTGTTGTGTAATTATTTCCGATATTCGAGAGTGTCTTCCGATATTCAAGACTGTCTTTCGATATTCAAGAGTGCATCACTGCTTCTTGCCAAAGCGAAGCATGCGAACAGCTCGTTGCCTCCTCGTAGGTTGCTGGAATGGGCACATCACTTACAACCATTGCGCTGAGTATATTAAATTGCTTCCTTGGGCGACTAGGTCTGCCCGTTCTTAGCAATTTCGATCTTCCAGGCTCAATTCGTGGGATCTGCTCTTCCTCCAGGTTTTTGTCATCTTTTGCACTTTCAAAAGATTCAGGTGTATCTGAGTGAGATGTGAGATCTTCCCCATCATCATCCTCTTCATCAACTCAATTCTGCTGTCCGCTCTTTGTTTAATCATTTTTGGCAATTACTTTGCGACAATTCGATTCAAATATGCCCACAAATATTTGACCACAGTTGTAACTGGCAACATTTTTCAGTTTCTTCTTTGCAGTGACCTTCGCACTAAGCCTCTGTCTAACTGTAAATACCTGCCCAACATTGCTGAGCTTTCTGCGCTCTCTTTCCTCCTGCCTTCTTCCTTCAACTTTATACATGGAATTTCAAACGTTGGAGGACCGTCGCACGTCTCGATGGCGACAACAAAATTCTCATGGATCGGGAAAGCAAAACAATGACCTTGAGCTCGTCAACTATTGCTACGAATATAATGATATTTGTTGGGTTGAAATCTTCTATGTCTCTGAAATTCAAAACATGCATCCCCAGGCTGCTGCGTCTTCTTCTAGTTAGGGCGACACATTCTGCTAGGATTTTCATCGAGGATTCCTCCTTTATAAACACCTTGTTGGTTGGGTGACTTCTCAGTTTAGAACGTGCCAGCAGACCGGTGAGTTTCCTAAGCCTGTTCTTCCCATTGGTTATTACTTGCTTAAATCGTTTTTTATTATAGCCACCCAAAAGACATCTGGCTTGTCAGAGTCCTGGTGCCGCAGCCTAGCTCCGTTGTCGTCTCTGTTTTTCCAACAACTCCTCAGCTCATGCAGCAACTTAAGGAACAGCAGCAGCAGCGTCATCAACAGCCAGAACGTCAGCCACAACACCGCCAGCTGCCGCAGCCGCAGCAGCAGCAGCAGTACCAACAGAACCACCCGCAGCAACCTCAGCAGCAGCAACACACAATTTGTTGTTGGCATTTAGAAAGGTATTTTCTGAGTGATTCTAGAGGGGTGCAGAGCCACAGGACAAATGTTATTGGTGCTTTTATTTATATCGCTTATTTATGGCACTTCTCCAAATGAAAAAAAGTGTATATATTTTGAAAGAGCAGCACCAACTTTAATTTATGGAGGGAATACTGTAACCATATGTTAAAAATTAAAATTTGAATTGAGTCGAAAGAATTAATTTAAGATAATTTATTTTGCACCTGAATATTTAAGGCTAAATGAGCAGCACTGCTGCACATTGGTTGTTGGTCTGTTGACTACCATTGAACGACGGAATCTCATCCAGGAACACTTCAAGATCGGATATTCACATCTCCAAATAGCTGAAATGGTGAATCTAAGCAAGTCAACTGTATTTTACATCATTCGGATATTCGTCGACGAAAATTGGATAGAGGACAAGGGCAGAAGGATCATCTTCGTTTTTTGATTTATATTTTTCACAATAATTTGTGCACATTTAAACAATTTTGCTATTTATTTGTTATCCCTTCTATTATGCGAAATTCATTCTGAATGGAGTATAGTTGTCCTAAAATTGATATATTTATGCAAATGCCTATTAATAAAATAGGCAACAAAAAAGCTATTATAAGAATCCTTAACTAATTGACAATTACATAATCATGCCGTTAAGCAGCCTTCAATTTTCAGTTGAGTTTTGGAAAACAAGCAAAGCAATAATAGAAATAAGTCTGTTATAAATTCAGCAGGTAGAATTAATTTAAGTATTTTATAAGTCTTTCTATGTGATTCCAATTTCTGATCGGATAATACAATTTTTATGTTTACTTAAACGTAAAAGTAATACCAATTTATTATTATGTGCGAAATGACATTCGAAAAATGTAAAAATTTAATTGTGTGACATATGTGGAATTATAGATTTAGCGTTGTGTACTCAACTCAAGTTTATTCAAGACTGCCGCGATGCTGATAGTTAATAGTACTGATATTCATTAATAAGGGACTTAACATATATATGGATGCACGGCTCTTTTTTTCTGACTGTAGGAAATCGATAAAAGTCTTTTGGGGCGATTTATCAAAATCGAGATTTTAATTTTGTTGCTAAATTCGTTAATGTAAAATCTGACTGCGAAATACTTTTTTGGGTGGCTTTATCCAAGAAATACCGATCTTTATAGTTCCAATTTTCAAGTCTCTATCTCTCTCGATCTACAATGGCAATTTTGGGTTTTTTACAATTTGTAATAATTTTCTGTCCTAATCCGAAACCTACAACAACAACAACAACAAGAAAACTTAATACACAAAGCAAAAGTATCTTGTCATTATACCATTTAGGAGCGATTTCGATTTTTTTACCACAGAAGGCTGTGAATGGCACAGACTTTTGTATCCCCGATTCGATAGTGGAGCACATCGCTATAGTAGATAAATCCTAAAGAAAAGAATTTTATAATTTATTCAAATTTAATTATCAGTTGATTGCACTTTCACGCTACAAACCTTTATATGTATTCGCAGATTTTTAGCATCGGAATCGCAATCGCATTCAAATCGATTGTGATTAATCAAAGCTTTGACTCCCATAGGTATCTTGAGTAGTTCTTTCGGATTGGTCAGGTTGTTGTGCTCCAAGTTTAATGTCTCTAGGCCTGGCAAGGATTCGCCAATTTCATTTGGGAGACGGTTTACTTTGTTATGCGAAAGATTAATATATTTGGTGCCTTTAAAGTTGTACTTGAGCAGCTCCTCGGGCAGTGTTGTGTAATTATTTCCGATAAGCGAAAGCTCCACTGGCTTCTCCCTTGACAAGCACTCAAAGTCCACATTTTCTACATACGAACAGATAAAGGAGTCTATTTTCGTTCTAATGCATTCGCAAATCCTTTGAGAAGTTAAGCCCGTCGTCAAAGGAATTAATAACAACAAGATGAGCATCATTTTCTGAAATAAGAAACATTTCAACTATTATTAATATATGCTTGTAAAGAAATCGTTAATAATCGTGAGAAACACACACAATAATATTCTTCCTGGAAAGCTTCCGCTCTCCAACCTAAGGAGAAACAACGGCCTAAAAATGTAAATAGAGAATAGCTGTGGGTGAGTAACCAACGGCGCATGTGCACAATTGTTGTTGCCCTTTTTGGGTGCCCTTAAATAGCCCAGTCTTACACGGAGCATATCGGATACATGGCGACCTCCGATATTAATCAGCCTTACCTGCACACCGCGGATCTCTGTGCAGGCGGACATCTCCTTTTCTCCGCAGCTCGTGGGAATCCAATGTATTCCATAAACAAAAAATCCCAAAAAGAGTCCGGTACTCTCTCAAAACCGGTAGGGAGCAATCCCAAACAAGTAGCGGAGGCAGTGGCTCGCAAGCCTGGCCAAAGCGGCAGCATGACAAAAGTGGCGGAAAAGTCTGTTTGTCAAGCCTGCGGCGAGGGTACAGGCCCAGACCAGATAAGCCCAGTACAACTACAAAAGGCGGGAAATATGGCATAAATAAACTGGCTACATGAGATCTTCGGGAGGATTCTGGAGACTGGCCGCAACCCACCGACATGGCTCCAGTCAAAAATAACTTTCATACCCAAAGCTGGGAAGCCATCGCACACCAGCGCCAAGGATTTCAGACCCATCAGTCTGTCATCCTTTATGCTAAAGATCCTGGAACGACTTATAAGTCTCCATCTCACAGCATCCATCGACCACAGGCTTATGTCGAAGTCCCAACATGCCTACAGGAAGGGCAGATCCACAGATACTGCCCTTCACTCTGTAGGCTCTACCATAGAGAAATCTCTACTCCATAAGGAGTATTGATCAGTAGGATTGATCAGTCACACCTAGTGAGGCACTTGACGCTATTCTGGACATCCCTTGTCTGGAAAGACAAGGAATGGAAAATGCAACACTCACGGCCATAAGACTCAGAGAATACTTCGCCTGGGCTACTCAGAGCACTGGCCATGCCTCAATCCTAGAAGGAAAGCCTACCATCCCTTCGAAAACGGATTACTGCGTGCCAGTAACACAATGGGATACTCCCTTCAACACATACTTCCCTCAAAGGGAGGAATGGGTTTATGGCACCCCCGGTCCACCGGCGACCATAACCTTCTTTACAGACGGCTCCAAACTAGACAACCGCGTAGGCGGTGGGGTCTACTCAGAGCAGCTCAACATACAGTTATCCTTCAGCCTTCCAACATACTGCAGTGTTTTTCAAGCTGAGGTACTGGCTATAAAGGAAGCTATAGACTGCCTAGAAAGGCTCAAAAGCCCTAGCAATATAAACATATATATTGATAGTCAGGCAGCGATCAAATCCATCAGCTCGATATCTTCAAATTCGATATCAGTAACAAGCTGTCGCAAATCTCTACACGAGATGGCAAAACAGCATGTTATTAGCCTAATATGGGTCCCTGGCCACCAGGACATTGAAGGCCACTGTAAAGCTGAGCTATCTAGGAAAGGTACTATACTACCACTCCTCGCGGATAAGGAAGGTATAAGTATGCCTCTAGCTACCTGCAAGCTCAACATCAAAGAGGAGTACAGGCGCAGGTCATGCAGCAAATGGCAAAGTGCCACCTGTGCCCGCACAGCACACCAGACATGGCCAATTCTTAACTCCAAGCGCAGCAGAGGGCTGTGCAGTCTAAGTCGGACCAACTGTTCTGCAGTGATCCGAGCTCTAACTTGGCACTGGCTGGTAGGCATTCATGCCAACAGACTCCAGGTGCCATACAATGACTGCAATAAATGGAATCTCCGGAACATTTCTTCTGCCACTGCCCAGCACTTGCTAGGAAAAGGCTGGAAATCTTGGGAAACCACTCCCTAACTGATTTATCGGTGCTCCGACACATGAGACCGGCCAAGATAGCGAAATTCATAAACGCATCCGGCTGGTCAAATGTTTAAATTGTAGAAATGCTTTGGAGGCACGACTGTAGGAGGAAGTACCCCCTAGATCCCCCTTTCGGCATCACAACGGGCCAAATATGGCCTAAGTGTGTCAGCCCATAGGGCTCCTGTCGAATTCTGTCCGCTCCCGGTACGCCTGGTTGTGTGTGTTTTGGTCGTCCGTCATTGCCATAAATCGTGGTCGATTATATCTCTGCGCGGATTCCCTGTGGCTGTATTGTGGAGATTCCTGGCGCATTTGTGGCGGCTCCATGCGGTGTCGTGGTGGTTCCATGGGTCTCGGTTGCTCCATGCGGCTCTGTCGTCTCAGCTTTTCCCTGTCCGCTTCGAGTTCCTCGAACGCTTCGGCCAAATGCATCAATTCTGCCAAATTATTGAATTGATATGGCCTGGCGTAAGCTCGTAGATCCGGGAGGCTGTTGTTGTATATTTTATTAAGCTCTTTTTCCGCTGAATACCGCAGTGGCCACATGAGCTTCTGCATTTCTACCATGTACACTTTAAACGGTTCGTGCATCGCGTGCCGTCTTCGGGAAACTTCGTCCTTCAAGTTTTCGAAATAGTCTCTTGGAAGGAAATACTCCTGAAAACTTTGGACGAATGCTACCCATCTCGTCCAGTGCTGGTTGTTGGCTACATACCACTTAAGAGCCATTCCCTGAAGTAATTCGGGCATGGCCCTGGGAATTAAATTCAGGTTCAGTCCATATGTATCTGCTGACCATTCGACTTGTTCCAGGAATTCCAGAGGCTTGGTGGTGCCGTCGAAACGAAAATTCCATTCGCGGACTTGTTTCGCTACTCTGGGGTATTCCTGGGACATAGTCGGTGCAGATTGTTCGTTTATGGCCACTCTTCTTTGTGGCTGTGATGTGGACGCTACCCCCCAAAGAGTATTATTGGCGTCTCGAGTCCGCGCTGCTGCGCTTGTTGCCGGGATGCTCAGCTGGGCGAAATTTATATTCGTCGACTCTCTTGCATCTGCACCATTTTCTGGTTATCTGGCCGGCGATTGTCTGCCATGAATTGCCGCCAGTTCCTCTAATCTTGCGCTATATGGCAATCTGTTTTCGTGAGTACTCACCCAGTCTTCAAATTGTCTGCGCATAGCATCCAAAGTTCCGGATAACTTCACTTCGAATTCAGCTCCATATTTCAGCACTTCGTCTTTTTTTAAATTGTACACCCACGCGCGAACCATTTTTATTTTATTTTATTTTAATATATATTGTGTGTTTTAATTTATTGCAACCACCAAAGTTGGGCGCCAGTTGTAACGAACCTATTTGCTAGGTGGTATGATTTTCACTGCATGATGACAATTAAAAAACGACTTAGGTATGCTTCCACCGCGATAAATTGGCCATCGTCGATTCAGGCATTGCTCAACACTGATGGTTGGAATGATCCGAGTCATCTCAATGTTCTCTGGATTCCACTTGGTTCCTGATTTGTCTCAGTTGTCCCCGACGATCCGGCGTTGGATTTTTTTATATAATTATATTCGTTATTTTTCTATACTGCGAAATACTTCGCAAATAATCTGTTTGCGTTATCCGCTTTTTGATTGTATTCTTAAGTTGGGTTATCGAGCGCAGTATCGATATCCCTGTTATTAACATTAGTAATCGGAATGTTCTATTGATCTTCTACATATTTTCAACAGTAATAATGAAGAGATGCAACCATGAAAAAAATTCCCTTACATAATTATTTCTTTCTCGTTTGCTTCTTATGCCCTCATCTCACCCAATCACATTGATTTACCACATCATGTTCATTTTTTTAGACTATTTAATTTACAATTCATATGATACATGTAACATCGTGATACCTAACCTCTTTGTTGGCCAACACTAAATTCGCTTATATATATTTAATACAATTTTATCTATCTACTTAATTTAAAGCTTACAAAACATTTATGTTTTTTTTTTCTATTATTTGGCTTTAAAAGTTGCCTTGGTTAGGGCCGATCAGCTGTCTTTGGCTCACTCTGCCGTAATTAGGCGGGAACAAACTCACTGATGTGTTGAGACGATCCGACTCGTCTCACGGTCTCCGGGCATTGATTTCCTGGTTCCTGAGTCCAGTTGGCCGATTTCCTCCTTGATGGTGGCGATGAATAGTTCCGCCTGTTGTTGCTGCCGGTTTATCTTGTTTGTTTTTTTTATTTATATATATATTATTTATTTTATTTATTTTTATATATAATTATATTCTATATTTTTATATATCTGATTGCGAAATACTTTGCAGATTATATGGTGAATTCATTCCTTTGCTGAGACAACCCTTAAGATGTGTTCGTATTGGCATCGGAATTGCAATCGCATTCAAATCGATTGCGATTAATCAAAATTTTGACTCTCATTGGTATCTGGAATAGTTCATTCGGATCGGCAAGTTTGTTATGCTCCAAGATTAATGTATCTAGGCCTGGCAAGGATTCGCCAATTTCATTTGGGAGACGGTTTATTTTGTTATGCAAAAGATTAATATATTTGGTGCTTTTAAAGTTGTACTTGAGCAGCTTATCGGGCAGTGTTGTGTAATTATTTCCGATATTCGAGAGTGTCTTCCGATATTCAAGACTGTCTTTCGATATTCAAGAGTGCATCACTGCTTCTTGCCAAAGCGAAGCATGCGAACAGCTCGTTGCCTCCTCGTAGGTTGCTGGAATGGGCACATCACTTACAACCATTGCGCTGAGTATATTAAATTGCTTCCTTGGGCGACTAGGTCTGCCCGTTCTTAGCAATTTCGATCTTCCAGGCTCAATTCGTGGGATCTGCTCTTCCTCCAGGTTTTTGTCATCTTTTGCACTTTCAAAAGATTCAGGTGTATCTGAGTGAGATGTGAGATCTTCCCCATCATCATCCTCTTCATCAACTCAATTCTGCTGTCCGCTCTTTGTTTAATCATTTTTGGCAATTACTTTGCGACAATTCGATTCAAATATGCCCACAAATATTTGACCACAGTTGTAACTGGCAACATTTTTCAGTTTCTTCTTTGCAGTGACCTTCGCACTAAGCCTCTGTCTAACTGTAAATACCTGCCCAACATTGCTGAGCTTTCTGCGCTCTCTTTCCTCCTGCCTTCTTCCTTCAACTTTATACATGGAATTTCAAACGTTGGAGGACCGTCGCACGTCTCGATGGCAACAACAAAATTCTCATGGATCGGGAAAGCAAAACAATGACCTTGAGCTCGTCAACTATTGCTACGAATATAATGATATTTGTTGGGTTGAAATCTTCTATGTCTCTGAAATTCAAAACATGCATCCCCAGGCTGCTGCGTCTTCTTCTAGTTAGGGCGACACATTCTGCTAGGATTTTCATCGAGGATTCCTCCTTTATAAACACCTTGTTGGTTGGGTGACTTCTCAGTTTAGAACGTGCCAGCAGACCGGTGAGTTTCCTAAGCCTGTTCTTCCCATTGGTTATTACTTGCTTAAATCGTTTTTTATTATAGCCACCCAAAAGACATCTGGCTTGTCAGAGTCCTGGTGCCGCAGCCTAGCTCCGTTGTCGTCTCTGTTTTTCCAACAACTCCTCAGCTCATGCAGCAACTTAAGGAACAGCAGCAGCAGCGTCATCAACAGCCAGAACGTCAGCCACAACACCGCCAGCTGCCGCAGCCGCAGCAGCAGCAGCAGTACCAACAGAACCACCCGCAGCAACCTCAGCAGCAGCAACACACAATTTGTTGTTGGCATTTAGAAAGGTATTTTCTGAGTGATTCTAGAGGGGTGCAGAGCCACAGGACAAATGTTATTGGTGCTTTTATTTATATCGCTTATTTATGGCACTTCTCCAAATGAAAAAAAGTGTATATATTTTGAAAGAGCAGCACCAACTTTAATTTATGGAGGGAATACTGTAACCATATGTTAAAAATTAAAATTTGAATTGAGTCGAAAGAATTAATTTAAGATAATTTATTTTGCACCTGAATATTTAAGGCTAAATGAGCAGCACTGCTGCACATTGGTTGTTGGTCTGTTGACTACCATTGAACGACGGAATCTCATCCAGGAACACTTCAAGATCGGATATTCACATCTCCAAATAGCTGAAATGGTGAATCTAAGCAAGTCAACTGTATTTTACATCATTCGGATATTCGTCGACGAAAATTGGATAGAGGACAAGGGCAGAAGGATCATCTTCGTTTTTTGATTTATATTTTTCACAATAATTTGTGCACATTTAAACAATTTTGCTATTTATTTGTTATCCCTTCTATTATGCGAAATTCATTCTGAATGGAGTATAGTTGTCCTAAAATTGATATATTTATGCAAATGCCTATTAATAAAATAGGCAACAAAAAAGCTATTATAAGAATCCTTAACTAATTGACAATTACATAATCATGCCGTTAAGCAGCCTTCAATTTTCAGTTGAGTTTTGGAAAACAAGCAAAGCAATAATAGAAATAAGTCTGTTATAAATTCAGCAGGTAGAATTAATTTAAGTATTTTATAAGTCTTTCTATGTGATTCCAATTTCTGATCGGATAATACAATTTTTATGTTTACTTAAACGTAAAAGTAATACCAATTTATTATTATGTGCGAAATGACATTCGAAAAATGTAAAAATTTAATTGTGTGACATATGTGGAATTATAGATTTACAACGATTTCCTACACTCATTCCAAAGGAATTCGAAATGTATGTGATTGTTACAGTTTCCCCGCGTCAGGGAATGACTGAATAAGAAAATATTGCGAAGTGGCACCAGCGTTGTGTACTCAACTCAAGTTTATTCTAGACTGCCGCTATGCTGATAGTTAATAGTACTGATATTCATTAATAAGGGACTTAACATATATATGGATGCACGGCTCTTTTTTTTCTGACTGTAGGAAATCGATAAAAGTCTTTTGGGGCGATTTATCAAAATCGAGATTTTAATTTTGTTGCTAAATTCGTTAATGTAAAATCTGACTGCGAAATACTTTTTTGGGTGGCTTTATCCAAGAAATACCGATCTTTATAGTTCCAATTTTCAAGTCTCTATCTCTCTCGAAATCTACAATGGCAATTTTGGGTTTTTTACAATTTGTAATAATTTTCTGTCCTAATCCGAAACCTACAACAACAACAACAACAAGAAAACTTAATACACAAAGCAAAAGTATCTTGTCATTATACCATTTAGGAGCGATTTCGATTTTTTTACCACAGAAGGCTGTGAATGGCACAGACTTTTGTATCCCCGATTCGATAGTGGAGCACATCGCTATAGTAGATAAATCCTAAAGAAAAGAATTTTATAATTTATTCAAATTTAATTATCAGTTGATTGCACTTTCACGCTACAAACCTTTATATGTATTCGCAGATTTTTAGCATCGGAATGCGCAATCGCATTCAAATCGATTGTGATTAATCAAAGCTTTGACTCCCATAGGTATCTTGAGTAGTTCTTTCGGATTGGTCAGGTTGTTGTGCTCCAAGTTTAATGTCTCTAGGCCTGGCAAGGATTCGCCAATTTCATTTGGGAGACGGTTTACTTTGTTATGCGAAAGATTAATATATTTGGTGCTTGTCAAGTTATTCTTGGGCAGCTCCTCGGGCAGTGTTGTGTAATTATTTCCGATAAGCGAAAGCTCCACTGGCTTCTCCCTTGACAAGCACTCAAAGTCCACATTTTCTACATACGAACAGATAAAGGAGTCTATTGTCGTTCTAATGCATTCGCAAATCCTTTGAGAAGTTAAGCCCGTCGTCAAAGGAATTAATAACAACAAGATGAGCATCATTTTCTGAAATAAGAAACATTTCAACTATTATTAATATATGCTTGTAAAGAAATCGTTAATAATCGTGAGAAACACACAGAATAATATTCTTCCTGGAAAAAAAACATTAGAATTGTTATCCAAAACAGTGGAAAACACTAAAAGAAACAAGAGACAACGTGGCAGTAATGGGCGTGGCCTACGACTCCGAAATACTTTGATATCATAAGTCATGTCAGCTGATAACAGTTAGCAGGATAACAGATAGCAACGGATAGCTGGGTGTAGCCAAGAAATACCGTCCAAGTTTGCCTCTCAAATTGTTGCTGTAACTCTTAAATTACGGGAGATATGGGATTTTCGAAATTTTGGGGCGGAAGTGGGCGTGATTGCTGAAGCCTTCTAGCAAACTCAGCTTGAGCAATAGGCTGCTGTTGTAGAGGAGGATTAATTGTTGGGGGTTAAATTAATGTGCTACAAATATAATATTTAATGTTATTTATTATCTGCTAAAATATGATGTTAAATTTTAATTCACTGCTATTATTCATTCATACCTTTACAAATCAATGTTTTATAGCCTTTCAATAGGTTGATTAATGTTTAAATATAAATGCTACATAATTAAAAAAAAGGAAGTGGGCGTGATCAAAAAAATGTTGGAGAACGATATTAGTTACCCACATTCCAAGTTTCCTAGCTATTGCTCTTAGATTACGGCCAATATAGTCTTTTATTTAAATAACACGAGGAGTTTTTCTGTAGAAGTTATGTTTATATATAAGTTTCAATATCTTTAGGTCCAGCGCTGCGCGACTGTCTTGCTTAATGTAATGGAACGACTAATTGCGCTAACCGATTTTATGCGCGTCTTTACAGTGATCTTTTAAGAGACTTGCATATAGAATGCTGTGGCAACTCTATGTACATTATGCATACAGAACTATGTAAGCATTGTTGCTTTAACATATTATTATACATATTCGCGATAATAACATATAATAACAATTACCTTTCAGATTTGATGACTCTACTTTCAAATTGTGAGATATATGTTTATATCGACTTACACCAAGGAGGCGGAGTAGGAGTGGCCATGCAATTTTTTATCTATCTCTTACAATTCTTGCCAGCAAAATACTTAAAAAATGTAAAACGCTACACTCTGAAAAAAAAACTTTTTTTGATCTGAAAAAATACAGAAAGGAGTTTGCTGACGAAGTCAAATACTATCTTCTATAAAACTAATCTATCGACGATAATAATTAATAAATATTTATTGACTTAATCTTATCCGTTATATTGTCATATAATCCAATAATCAATCAATCTTAAAAGTGGAGCAACGTTTGCCACTTGGATGATTATTCCCACAGTAGAATCAACTTAAAAAAAAAACTCATATATTATATATTTATAACATAATTTTGCCACTTGGATGATTATTCCCGATTTGAGGTTCATTTAGTGTGTTCTGTGACTCTGAGTTTATAACAAGTCGGCTTTAGGAAAATGAAAATAAATCGCAAAGCAGTATTATCAGTTTATAAATATAAGTATATATATACTCGTATATGTACATATAAGTATATATATAATACTAAATATTTTTGCAATAGGTCGGAGACAAAAACGTTGATAGAGAAGACGTCCTATGAGAAGTGGACCGGTAAAAAGCCAACCGTGCCACATTTAAGAATATTCGGCTCAAAGGTTATTCATTAACATGCAAATAAATCGCAAACCAGTATTATCAGTTTAGCTCGCTATCGACTTGTCACTGTTGAACGCATTGCTTGTCACCGATGCCTTATGGAGGTTATGGACGATCAGCGGGTATCTTCGTGCCAATTCGCCGCAATTAAAAGTGATGGAGCAAACTCACTAGCATTTTGGGATGATCCGAGTTCGAGTCGTCTCAATGTTCCCTGGATCCCACTCCTTTGTTCCTGATTTGTCTCAGTTGTCCCCGGCGATCTCCTCTTGGTGGCTGCGTTGGATTATTCCGCCTGTTGTTGCCGCCGGTTTGTCTTGTTTGTTTTTTTTATTTATATGTATATTATTTATTTATTTTATTTTAATATATAATTATATTCTATATTTTTCTATATCTGATTGCGAAATACTTTGCAAATTATATGGTGCCTTCATTGCTTTGCTGAGACAACCCTTACGATGTATTCGTATTGGCATCGGAATTGCAATCGCATTCAAATCGATTTCGATTAATCAAAATTTTGACTCTCATTGGTATCTGGAATTGTTCATTCGGATCGGCAAGTTTGTTATGATCCAAGATTAATGTCTCTAGGCCTGGCAAGGATTCGCCAATTTCATTTGGGAGACGGTTTATTTTGTTATGCAAAAGATTAATATATTTGGTGCTTTTAAAGTTGTACTTGAGCAGCTTATCGGGCAGTGTTGTGTAATTATTTCCGATATTCGAGAGTGTCTTCCGATATTCAAGACTGTCTTCCGATATTCAAGAGTGCATCACTGCTTCTTGCCAAAGCGAAGCATGCGAACAGCTCGTTGCCTCCTCGTAGGTTACTGGAATGGGTACATCACTTGCAACCATTGCGCTGAGTATATTAAATTGCTTCCTTGGGCGACTAGGTCTGCTCGTTCTTAGCAATTTCGATCTTCCAGGCTCAATTCGTGGGATCTGCTCTTCCTCCAGGTTTTTGTCATCTTTTGCACTTTCAAAAGATTCAGGTGTATCTCAGCGAGATGTGAGATCTTCCCCATCATCATCCTCTTCATCAACTCAATTCTGCTGTCCGCTCTTTGTTTAATCATTTTTGGCACTTACTTTGCGACAATTCGATTCAAATATGCCCACAAATATTTGACCACAGTTGTAACTGGCAACATTTTTCAGTTTCTTCTTTGCAGTGATCTTCGCACTAAGCCTCTGTCTAACTGTAAATACCTGCCCAACATTGCTGAGCTTTCTGCGCTCTCTTTCCTCTCGCCTTCTTCCTTCAACTTTATGCATGGAATTTCAAACGTCGCACGTCTCGATGGCGACAACAAAATTCTCATGGATCGGGAAAGCAAAACAATGACTCTGAGCTCGTCAACTATTGCTATTCCAATTCCGGCAAGCTGATCCATGCTTTGCCCCTCCGCCATGCGTGAATTGAGCTACTTTTTGTATAGCGAGACTTTGCGCACCGGCCCGCTTGGCTGATGAACTTCGCGCACCTTAGTCCCTGCCCTCTGCGACGTTGTGCAGTTCGTGATGTATCCCACCTGCGATGCCTTAAAACTTAGCGTAATCGTTGCCAATGTCAATATTATCGCCAACATCAGACTCCAGTAAATCCCCCGACGCAACTTTCCATAGATCCGCATGCACCAACACCTATTAATATTCATTAATGAGGGACTTAACATAATTTTCAGCAGTAATTAATTAATTTGCGTTTCATTCGTTTCAGTTTAAGGACGATAGAGGATCAGGCGACTCTATCCATCCCTACAGAAAGCTGAATAGATCGCCTCAGAGATGAGCTGGCCAGGCTGGTGTCCAAACCATTATGAATCGTGTCAGCAAGAGCAAGATCTGAATCTATACTATTTAGAGTTGATGCCGTTGGTTCCAGACCCGAAGGAGGAAACCATCTAACAAGCTGGAAGGGATGCCCCGCTTATTAGCTGCCATTGCCAAGGTACGGCAGCTTGTGGTCCAGTTTAGAAGGCGGTCTCAAGACTTACTGAAGTCAGCACCTATTATTATTATTAATATTATTATTTACTAGATCTATTGTGCCCCCTTCTGAACGCTTATAGCTGCTCCACCAACCCCACCTGCTGCACGAATGCTAGAATCATTGTTGGGAATGCTAGAGTCAACTTGGGAACTTGCAGCAGCAGCAGCAGCAGCGTCACCAACAGCCAGAACATCAGCCAGAACATCAGCCAGAACACCGCCAGCAGCCGCAGGAGCAGCAGCATCAAAAGAACCACGTCCAACAACATGAGCAGCAGCAACACATAATTTGTTGTGATTTGTTAGAAAGGTTTTTTTCTGAGTGGTTCTGGAGGGGTACAAATGATATTGGTGCTTTTATTTATATCGCTCATTTATGGCACTTCTTCAAATGAAAAAAAGTGTATATATATTGAAAGAGCAGCACTAACTTTAATTTATAGAGGGAATACTGCAACCATATTTTAAAAATTAAAATTTGAATAAATAGATTCGAAAGAAATAATTTCAGATAGTTTATTTTGCCACTGTATATTTAAGACTAAATGAGCAGCACTGCTGCCAATGAATATTGGTTGCAGGGTCAGCTAATGTGAGCTTAGGCAAGCAAGCAGTGCAGTGACAGCCAGTAAATGTAAGCATTGCAATTTTATCTTATCCTATTTATTTATTTATACACGATTTTCGGTATTGATGCTGATCAAGAATATATATAATTTACTATAGATATTATGCAAATTTATTGCATTACCAATTTGACAAATTAATAATAATATTCTAAAAAAAATGCGTAGTGCAAAATGAGCTGAATATATTTAATTTAATTATATATATATTAATTTAATATTCATATTAATTTTATATATATTTAATGCATTAATAATTTGACGACATAGCAGCACTGCTTGCAATGAGCAGCTCTACGTTGGTTGTTGTCTCAGCTATCATATATATTTTTTTGATATTCATATTTTATTAATAATATGACGACATAATAAGAATTAAAATATTTATATTTACGGCTAATTGAGCAGCAGCGCTGCACAGTGGTTGTTGTTCCAGCTATTGCAAGCAGTGCACGTAGCACTACACGACGAGTGCATAAGGCCAGACCAAGCAGTGCAAAGCTAAGCCAACGAGTGCTAATTTTTGTTGTTTTTTTTTTGCAGTTACTGTTAATGCGCATATGCGAAAAGTGCTCACTGCTTGCAGCGCAGCCAGCGTCGGCGGCGTTTCCCAGTGCTGCGCAGTCAGCAGCAGGCAGCCACCTCCCCCACACACACACACACACACACACACATAGCAGCAGCAGTTGGCTGGCTGTAGTCAGTTTTGGACAAACACTCCGAGAGGCACGTCAGGGCCACAGCGTGTCGCGCTTCTCGACTCTCGATTGTTGTTGTTGTGTTGTGTTGTGTTTAGTGTGTGCCTGCGTGCGTGTGTATGATGCGTGTGTCTGTGTCGCCGAGTGAGAGTGTTTGTCTATGTGTCTGTGCGTGTGTGTGCAAAAGACCAGCCAGCAAAAATTATACTGCTGCTGCTGTAATCGCCACAAAATCAAAAAAATAATAACAAATAAATGAAATAAATAATAATCCGAAGTGGAAGTGCAACACAATATAAACATATATAAATATACATATATATATATATATATACACATATATATATATATATATATATATATATATATAAATATATATATATATATATATAAAATATAGATAAAGAGCAGCGACAACAAATTTGCGGGGGTGCGTGTTGCAACAACAATGTGCGGGGCAGCTTCGTGTCAACTGTCAAAAGTTAGTTTTATTTTCCTATTTTTCTATTTTTCCCACAGGTCTTTTTTTTTGTCTACTTATATAGAATGTGTCTGTCTTTTTTCCTACTTACTTTTCTACGTTTTTTTTTTTGGCAGTGCTAAGAGGCGTGGCGTAGGCCTGAGCTGTTGTTATCTCTGTATATATATATATATATATATATAATAACTATATGTATTATTGACTATTAACTTTTAAGTATGCCAAAAATGTAGAAAGCGAGAAAGAGAGCGAAAGTGTTGAGTATCTTTTATTTACAGTTGCAAGAAAAAATAATAGCAACACTTTGAAATTTTATCTTTCGAATCAGAAAAAACAAAGCATTTATTTTACATATTTTTCATATGTTTTTTTATTTTTTTCAAAATATATTTAAATAATTTTTTAATTGATAGGCAAAAGGTGCGAAAAAGTAACGAACAAAATTCCATTACCATAACATAATTGTTGATAGCCAAAAAATAAAACATTCGTTTTGCAGTTTTTCTAAAGGTTAATTGTGAATATATTGTTTTGCATTTCCCCTACAAAGTTTCAATATAGAAAAGTGAAATAAGGAATAATATGAAAAATAGTAGTAGACTTATGCACTTTATAGACATAGCTATTTTTTAAAATTATATTTAATTTTTGAATTTATTTTAAGTGCGTATTTAGAAATGCTGCTATTATTTGATTCGTTAATTTTGTTCCTTTTTTCATATCATTTCTCACTTTTTAAGAGTCTTCTTCCAATTCTTAACAAGTATTCATGAATATTCGTTAAGTTCACAAATTTAATAAAATTGACCATGTACCACAACTTTATGTCTTTAAGCATAGTTTTGCAAGACTGGCTTTGTCATCAAATATTACTCATACGCCGTGTGTGAGCAGTTTTAGTTTTTTCGCATTTAAAGGAATGAAACATACATGAATGAAATCATCCTCACACACACACACGCACACCTACACCCCCCCCCCCTCACACACACACACAAACACACACACACTGGCCAAACACGTGCATGCTCTGTGTGTGTTTGTTTGGAATGCGTTCAACTCCCGCAAAAAAAAAAGAAAAAGAAAAGCGAAAAAACGAAGAGAAAACAACAACAAAAAAACTGAGTTGCTAATGTCCAAAATGACCAGTGTTTAGAGTCACGCAAAGTTACAACAACCAAGAACTGCCTCAAATAGAATATGTAGGTAAATAATGAGTGTCATGGAAAAGACTCGAAAGGAACAGAACTGAAAAGAATAGCATAGGATATAGGATATGGAATATAGGAATAGGAACAACAACAACAGAAACGTCCTAAGCATATAAAATTGCTGCCACTACGAGTACTTGCAACACCAGCAACAACAACAAGCGTAGCAACAGTAGGCAGCACATTAGCATTAGCAAATACAGTGGTTCAAGGCATATAGTTATTTATTTATGATTTATTTTTATTATGTTTTTTATATTCTAATTATTTGTATTATTAATTTTACTTTATATTTTGGCATATATTTGTAAGTGGAGCTTTATTTTTATTTTATATTATAGTTAATATATATTTTGTCATCTATTGAAATTCAAGTTAGCAACAAGAAAAGTAAAATAAAATAAATAATGAAGCCTTAAACTTTTTTTAAGTAATCGCAAATAAATTTAAATGTTAACATACAGTTGCAGTTGTTTAAAGTGTATATTTTGTCATCAAAAGTAGTACAAAAATAAAGATAATAATTAATTGATCCTTAAACATTTTTATATATTTTGTAAATTAATTTAAACATTTTTATAGAGGTCTCTTCAACAATGCTTTAAACATTGTTCTTAACTTATTATTCAATTTATTTAAATATTTGTTTATTCAAGTAGTCGGGATAAGAAGTAAATATTATATTTTATAAATATAGTTATTAAATATATAGTATATTTTCAAAAAATTGTGCAAGTTGGAATATAGAAATACATCAAAATACGTAGACTTACCTATTTTGTATGATATTGTTTTCATATTTAATATATTAATATATTTTACACTTAATAAATATTAAATTTGAAAGATATTAAAATTTATTTCCTTTAAATAGGTTCTTGTCAGATATGTATACAAATTACTTATTTTGCGTTAGTTTTATAAAATAGACTTTACATAGTCGTTGGTGCAACCCTAGCAGTATTTCAGAGCATGCGGCAACACTGGTTGACCAGACATTGAGCAGATTGTGTTTCGCTATAATAAATCATGCATATCTCGTATTTGATTTGTTCTGCTTTTATTTTTCTTATTTGACTTATTTTTTATTTGTTTGTTGAGTGAGCTGCGGAAAAATGCAAATACATTGAGAAATAATCATATAATGCCTTTGACTGACTGAAGGGGAAACAACAACAACTATGACAACAACAACAACAACAACAGCATTTTGTAGCATAAATAATTCCACCCACAACCAGCAGCTAGGAGAAGAAAATAATGAAAAAAAGATTACAGCAGTCACTAGGGCGACACACTAAAAAAAATAAAAAACGACGTCGGCGTCGTAGTCAGCGTTGGCCGCAGAGCAGCGCTGCATTCGTTACACTTTTATCTCTACTCGCTGCTCTCTCTCTCTCTCTCTCTCTCTCTCTCTCTCTCTCTCTCTCTCTCTCTCTCGTGTCAAACTAACCTACATCAACAGCTGTAAAAGCGGCACCCACGCAAAAAGCGCATTTTTTTCTTTTTTTTTGCTGCCTGCCCTTAACATTGTTGCTCTGCTTCTGCCTCTTCTTCTTCTTCCTGCACAGTGATACAGTTAAAAACAAAAACAACAAATAACGAATTAATAGCAAAAGAGAAAAGGCAAGAAAGGAAAATAAAAATTAAAAAACTAGTGCACAAAATTATAAAATGAATAATGCAAGTGTGGATCGCATTAAAAATTACAAATTAAATCAAATGAAAATTAATTACAATAAAATATATTAAAACATAAATAAAAAATTTCATTTAACACAAAGTCGAATGAAATAGAAAAATTAAATCAAACTAAAATTAAAAATAATGCAACTGAAGACGAATGAAAATTAAAAATGAATTAAAAATTAGTCCAAATATGGCCTCATTTAATGCAAATGAAGATGAGTGAAAATTACAAATTAAAAATTAAATTAAATTAAAAATTAAATGAAAAATAAATTTCAAAAATAAAATCGAAAATAAAAATCGCCTCATTTAATGCAAATGAAGACGACGCTGGCGAGCGTCTTTCTCTCTCCCTCTGACTGACTAACAGACTATCTCTCTGTCTCTGTCGCTCTCTCTCACTCTCTCTCTGTCACTCTCACTTTTAATGCTTCGGGCGCGTTATCCTTATCTGTTAAACGCTATTAAAACGCGCTCTCTGTTAACTGCGCTCTCTGTCAACTGCTCTCTCTCTCTCTCTCTCTCGGTAGAGTGTTCTCCCTGTGCGCTGCTCTCTCTGTGAAGTGCTCTCTCTTTGTTTAAACAGCTGTTTATGCGGTCTCCTTTTCTGCGTCGACGCGTGTCTAACATAACCTCAAACAACAACTACAACGACAGCAGCAGAGGCAGTAGCAACAACAGCAGGCGCAGTAACTGCAGTAGTAACAGCGGCAACAACAAAAACAGCAGCCATAACAGCAGCAGAGGCAGCAGCAAAAGCTCTTCTGCCGTCGCAGCGACGCCGCTTCGCAACGTCGACGTTGACGTCAGCGTGTGCCGCAAGCGTTCAACTTTATTTGCGCGCTCTGCCTTCGCTCTCTCCCGCTATTCACTGCTATTTCGTTAGACACTCGCTCAATTTGACGACGACGACAGCATTTATCCTTCGGCTAAACTTTAGCTTCGGCAGCGACGCCGCACGCTTTGGCTGCTGTCGGCGTCGACGTGAACAGTAACAACAACACCAGAAGTAGCAAAGGCAAAAACAGCAGCAGCACCAACAGCAGGAGCAAAAGCAACGACGACGTCGACATTAACAGCAACAACAATAACAGCAGCAGCAACGTTGACAGCAGCAGCTATTATTACTTTTGCTGCTGCTGTCGACGCTGACGTTAACATCAACAAAAACAAATCTCCAGCTACCAACGTTAACAGGAATAATAACTGCAGCTGCAAAATTAATAAATTTGTTCGCTGTGGCCGACGAAGGCGCCAACGTTAACAGAAAAAACAACAGCAATAACAACAGCAGCTGCAAAAGCAATAACACTGCTCGCTGTTGCCAACGCCGACGTCGACGTTAACAGTAACAACGGCAGCGTCAACATTAACAGCAAAAACAACAACGCAACGTCAGCAGCAACGTCAGCAGCAGCAGCAGCGTCAGCAGCACTAACAGTTGCTGTTTGTCGCTGTTTTGTGCATTGACAATAATATGAGGAGTGGCAGTTCCGAATTGCTACTCGAGCAGCAGCAGCAGCAGCAACAGCAGCAGCCACTTACAGAGGAGCAACAGCGATTACGTAAAATCCGTGAACTGGCACCAAAAAAGAAAAATGGCAATCGTCGGTTTCGTTCGTGGCGCGAACGTGTTCGCTTTTATTCGACATCGACGTTTGCGTTCCTCTCGGTAACAGCGGGCGCCTCACTGTTATTTCTCGTCCCCCTCTATGTGGATCCGGCGATATCGACGCTGAGCCACGATTTCATTGATCGTCCGACGCTGTGCACGACGACGCGACGCGAAGATCTCGTCGGCATCTTCAACTGTTCGTGGAGTTCGTGTCGCGAGGGCTGCACCTCAGATCTGTATCGGTGTGTGCACATTTATGTTACGTTCATTGAGGAGAATATAACGATACCGCTCAATATGACCGATTACACTAATTATACGTCGGAGTGGGAACAGTCGAGCGAAGCGACACTGTTAGTTAACATTAAGGGTTGCGGTTATCCCCCGACGGTGACTTGCAAGAAATTCAATGGCTATTATGGCATCGAAGGCGCCATCTATCCGTGCTTTTATTCGCGCAAGAATAAAACGGTTGTGCTCACCACGTACAATCATGACGATCAGGTGGCGCTAATCATTAATTTCTTCGTCGTCCCCTTTGTGATAACGGTTATCTCGTCGATCGCACTCTGCGTCATGCACTGCGACTGCCGCTGCAAAAAGGATCGCAGCCATCGGCGGAATCGGCCGCAGTGCCGCAGGCCACGCATCGAGAATCTCAGGTGAGTAACGACAGGCGATGAGCAGCAGCCACAGCAACAGGATATTGGGAACAGTTAAAGTGTAAACAGCGTGTTGCATGATGCAGTCATGTGGAAACACATTTCTTATGTTAAGGTTACTCAAATTAAATTGGAAACAGATAGATGTGTGTGAAAAATAGTGTGTAATGCAATAATGGATGATGCAGTTTGTTAAGTCATCAATTTAAAGTGGGAACAGACTAAGTGAAATATATATTAAATATAATGCCTGATGCAGAAATCTATACAAATTCATATCAAGTGGAAGCACGAATCTTATATTTTATTAATCGAACTGTACAAATATTGCTTAATCTACTTATCCATAATAATGAAGTGAATACAAATTAAATAATCAATTAAAGGTTAGACTAAGTCTAAATAGAGGTTCTAATTTAATGCCGCATGTTGCAGAAGTGGACGCCAATCAAGTGGAAACACACTTCTAAACTTAAAACGGGAACAGATAAAAATGTGAAATAAAATATTCTGTAATGCAATGATGCATGATACACGAAATTAATTGGAAACAAATATTTTGCAATAAAATGATTCAAAGATAAATTTAAAATAGGTCAGATTAAGTTTAAAAATAGTGCATAATCTAAAGTAATGATGTGGAAACACATAATTTATATTAGAGATATAAATCGATATAAAACAGGTCAAATAATTTAATGATACGTGATACAGAAATTAAGTGGAAACAATTATTTTATGTTAGAGTTAGTAAATGGATCATAGATTAAAATACGGAAAACTGAAATATGATTTCTGACTTAATTCAAAAGTGTATGCAAGTTAATGTCAAGTGGAAGCACATCATTTATTTTCAAATTATTTAATGATCAATTTTAAATGGGCACAGACTAAGTAAAATACATATAAAATATAATGAATGTTACAGACGTGGACACAAATTAAGTGGAAACGCATCTTCTCTGTTAATGATATTATCCAATATATCCAAAATATCCAATTTAAAGCTTTGGTAAAGAATATTAAGATGAATATATAAATAAAAATATAATTATAAATATAAATATAATATAAGTAAATCGAGTGTCTGAAATGAATTAAGCTGGAAATTACAAGAAACGAGTTAAAGAAATACTTAAAAACAAAAGATATTCCCTTCAAAATAATTTATACACAAAGTAACTTTAACTAAATAAACAAGCACTCAATTTATGTTCATTGACAGAAACAAGTTAAAGAAATATTTGAAATGGAAATATATTAATTCAAACATATATTAAGATTAATATTACTACTACTATTATCGCTGACCATTTTACAATTGACTAATTATAGTGTTTATTTTATTACTTAATTAAAAGTTCCGGTTTCTGGTGCGTCCCTTCCAAGTGGATTAATTAATTATTATTAATATTAAACTAAGGCTGGCTTTTGTTATCTATATTGAATATGCATTTTTATGGGTGGAATAAAATTATGAATAGGATTTTAGAAGTGGAAGACGTTATTCACTGTTAAAAAAAAAATAATAATAATAATAATAAAAAAATAAAGTTTATGAAAAGTGTTTCAGAAATATCAGCGTGTTGCTATTCTTTTTGTCACCACTGTATAAAATATAGCTAATCCTAGTGATAAACTTGGCTGTCAACTTTACCGAGGTTCAGTTAATATGCATGCATCGTCGCATTCAGATTCAGTTTCCGTTGTCTTCAAGTTCCAAGCTCATTTCAATTAATAAAGTTTACAAAACTTTTTCTCAACTTGTGTCCACCTTCTGCAGCTGAGCTCGAGGCAAATGCCACCATCAAGTGGCCATCCAACTCTACCCCAAGCCACTTGCCACAATTTGCAGCCCAATATTTGTGTTTGGGTTGCACCTAAATAATTCAATAATGACACGCATCAAATCGTTAGCCATGAAAATTGGAAGTCAGCTCATATATATATATCTATATATATACAAATGCGGTCAAAATAATAATGTAACAGGTAATAAGTAAATTAAACAAATTAAATATATAAATACTAAAGATAATTAAACATTGATAATTGGGATAGCTGTAAAATTATTAGCTAACTAAGATTAAAGTCACAGTATATCGAAAAGTAAAATAATCCAGACAATCGAAGGGATTATAAAAGGAGCCATAAAAATAATATTGAGAATTGTAATTTTGGCCGCAACTGTATATCCCAATATATATTGTGTGTAGTAATGACTGCTTCTAAATTATTTATAAATCCAAGTGTCGGCAGTGTACAAGTGCGTGTGTGTACGTGTGTGTGTGTGTGTGTGTGTGTGTATGAACAAGGCACGCACCACGCTGCGTATGATTGATTTGTTGAGCTGTTGACAAGCCGACTTTCGATTGAGTCTGTTTTTTTTTTTTCTTTTTGGGCCCCATTCGATATTCATTTGGCTGTTGGACGTCTACGTGCGACAATAACAATTACATTTATCGCATGCGTTCAATGAACACAAAAGGACACTTTATATACACTTTTATACATATATATATATATATATATATACATTTATTGAGCAACGGTCTTAATAATTTTCCCTTTGTGTCCATCGCCCAACTCTATTGCACTCTGAATTGCAGCCTATACACTCGCAAAACTCGGACCAGAATTTTATAAAAACGTCTTTAAGCAATGTTTTCTTGTTTTTGGAAATATCTTTCATTTAATGAAATTAATAAATATAAAAAAAATGCTATGGCAAAATCTTTCTCAAAATTATTAATAAATAATACAAATTAGCAATCATTTCTAAATAAAATAATTGGTAAAAATTAGAATGGCAAATTGGCAATCACAAAAAATGGCGTGAAATTTTAAAATACTAAATTATATAAATAATATAAGCAGCAAAAAGCTAATATTAGAGTTAAAAGAAAAGAAAAATCTTGGTTTTTTGAAAAAAGAAACTGACTCGCTAATTAGATGAATTAATCTTGGCAAATTTGTAGAAATCAGAGCAATTTTTCTCCGAGTGTAGGTCATCACTTTGTCGTTTTATATCCCATGTAGCAATCGATATCTGTATTGGTCTTTCAGGTATATTTCAGGTCTCTGTATACGAGTATTATTTGCATTATTCAATTGGCCAGTGTCAGTATCCCAGGCAAATTACGGCCACATTTCGCGTACATTTCGGACAATCAATTGAAACAATGCTGCCTTTGCCTTATCCCTCTTCTCTCTCATTTGGCTTTGGACTGTTTTAGGGATTGATTGGGGACCATGTGTCTTATCAATTAGCAACTGAATGAAGCTGCCTCTGTATGCGTTCTCTGTTTCATTTGCGACAACATATGTAAAATGAATAGAAAGTTGCAGGTTAAATAAATTTGTACGTTGATCAGCAAACAGAAGGAAGATTCATTGGTAAAAGTGTCAGTGAGCTATTATTTTTATTCCAGTTAAGACTTCGCAATATGTAAAATAGCAGAAATTGTTTTTGAATATGGCAATTTTTCTATTTTATGTGAGATATTTTATATTATTAAAAACACATTTCTGTGTAATAATAATCCAACCCGGATTATTAGAAAATATCCTTTCTGAAATTCTAAGACTCACGTCTAGAATTGAATAATTTTAAAATACTAAAATTGTAAAATTTTTAAAAACTGTTGGCTCTGCATATTAACGGGGACAAGAGCTTTAATAACGTACAGATTTTAAAATTCTTTGGACCAGCTTCCTTTGCATAAGATAAAGTAAGTCTTTCATATATGCTAAGTGCTTTAAAATCAAAGTAGATCAACAACACTCGAGACAAGTGTTCATTTTTTGCTTTGGGCTTCATTTGAAATGCAGAGTTTTTAAGATTTATTTCCCAGTTGAGGCAAAGTTAACGAAAGGTGTCGCCAGGTGGCGCAGTCACAAATAAAGCTAAATGACAATACCCAAAAAATAAAATGGAGAGGAATATGCATAATTTAGCTTGTTTTCAACGGAAATCACTAATAAAACATTGAAAAAGAGCTGTTGAAAAGTTGCAAAACAAACTGGCGTCAGCATGTGCTGTGGGTGCTGTGTGTAAATGCACACCCACACAAACCTACACACCTACACACCTACACACACACACACACACACACACACACACACACACACACCCACACATACACATAAATGTACTTGTCTTTGTTACATAATCAGCTTACCTTTTGTCTCAGCTTGAAATGAATATTATTTCAGCTACATTCCGAGATTATTTAAAGCATATCAAGTGCCATGGAATCCTTGGAATTTAATGTGCAAAACCCTATGGAAAACGAACAGCTTTTTATAGTTTAATATAGGTAGGGTAGGTTAAAACGGTTGTCAGCCCGAAGGTTGACACACATAGGCCATTTTAGGCCCGTTGTGATGCCGTATTGGATCTGGGTTGCATTTCTCCTACACTCGTGTGGTAAAAACACAAAAAACAAAGATTTGACAAGCCAGTTGCGTTTATAATTTTCGCAAGCCTGATAAGCTAGTTAGGGAATGGCTTCCCAGGCTAATTTAACTAATGGGTAATTAATTCACCTTCAAATGTATTACCTTATTAAATTGGTTAACTTAAACTATATTTAATATTATTATATATTATTTAATTGTTTGCATTTTTTCTTTCAAAAATGTATGAATTAATTCGAAAATCAAGAAAAACTTTACATTTTTCAGTGCGATATTTTTTCTGAGTGTAGTTAATGCCAGTCATTTAGAGGCTAATTATAAAGCGCTTTTGTAGCGTGTTCTTCTTCGTAGGCGTTGTTAAGTGAAATACTTAAAGTGTGAAACGACTTGAAATGCAACACTTGAAACATGATTGAGCTAATTATCGCCTTTGGTTGACTTGTCATAACACGTTGCAAACGTCAAGTCAATCAAATTTGGCTGAACAAAGCAGCTGTGGCAGCAAACTTTAAGTGCAACTTGAGGCAGGAATTGTGGCTAGGATGCTGCTTGGCTGCATTTTAAAGTGGCCTACTTATCGGGGCCAACTGCAACTGCTGCTGC